ACTTGCACCATCTTACTCATTAGATGACAGCGAGAGAGAATAATGATTTCATGAAATTGCTAGGAAATACTGATCAATAAGTGTCAACCCCTGCAGGCACACTGTGGTTATTTTGTGATCTGGAGCAGTTTTGTTTTTAAAAAACATAATTTTTATCTAAATCCCTTAAAGACATGAACATAATGATACTATATATCTGTTCTGAGTGTATTCTTCTGTGTCTTGAATACAGGTATCCTGAGGTCCAGTCCCGCCGTCGTCATCCACTGGGGGTCTTTTTCTTGTGATAAAGGTCAGTTTCACCACAGATTATCATTCATCACGCTCACTTTTGCTCGAGGTAAGCTGCATTTTCTGTCTCCAGGTGATTATTTGTTGGTTCCTGACTTACATTAGCTTTGAATTGCTTGAGCCTTGCATACACAATGTAGACATATTTACTTAAACGTAGACCCTTCTATTCCTAAAGAAACCCTTAAGTATTTTGGACAATATTCATGCTTCTTCTTATCCAGAGTGAGATTTAATTTCTGTGCATTCAGTGACATGTTAGCGTACCTTATGGAAAACCCCTTGTCTTTACAACCTGGGAGTGTTTGTACAGTTTGATGGCTATCCCCACTGTTAGTCTTGTAGTCACACCCTTTGAACAACCTCAGTTAGTTCCTGTTGTTTTCATGCATATTGGAGTTTGGCTGCTTTAAAATCATTGATTGTATTAATGTGGCAATATTATTTAGTATAGTTTAGAGTTTTGAGATGGCATAGCTGTTAAACATATATAATACCTCTAAATTGAATTGAAACTTAAAGGTTTATGTGAACGTTTTCAGTGACCCAGATATCTGTAATGACATGAACACAACATTAGTGCAGAAGCTGGATGTAAAGGGGGAAACCATTAGCCTGCAATCGAAACTGATGTACCAGAGAATGATATTTATTTACGTGTTGTTAGCTAGCAAGCTAGCAACCAATACTATTTATCCAAGATTCACCAAGGAAGAGTGTTATCTCTGGCAAATGAGATGTCTTCTTCCATTTTATTATTTGGGAATTTGTTTTGGGATTGTAGAAACAGCCAATGAGACAAGTAATGTTGTAGTAATTTGTCTGTTTATGATTTTGACTCATTATAAACAAAGGCTTCTTTCCCGCCCACATAATATTCTCTATTATTGTCATTCATATATTTTTATTTTTTGAACAATAGCTTCCTTGTTTGTTTTCCTTGTTTGAATTTGAGTCATCACATCTGATTATCTGTATATCAGTAGCTAAACGAGCTTGATGGAGTAAAGCCTCATTTTAAAATTCTCTTTTTGTCAATCCATCATAAATTACCAATATTACATGTGGAATTCGTTTTTTTTATCCTTGACCCAAACTTGACCCAGCACACATGCATCTGTCTCTCTCGCCTGAATATATAATTATTATCATTATCACAGCAATGTTTACGTCATCGTCGCTGTCGATTCATCTTTGCGGAGGCAGATTCGCTGCTTCACCTTAATTATACCTGTCTGCAGCCTGTCTCCACATAGCAGACACCTGTAAGAAAAACAAAAAAACACATCCAGCTTGTCTGACTTCTCAGTGTCTCCTCATGGCCTCGCTCGTATTACACATAATGAGAACACTCCGCCAGTTGTCCACAAATGAACATCATAATGTCATTCCGCTACGGGACAGTGTGGGTGGGAGAATTTGGCTCGTACCACCTCTGTCACTCAGGGGTTTATTCATCATCGCCATGATTTTCCCGGCCTGTCAGTGTGTGTGCCGCTGAAATGGCCCCCGATGGCATGAGGAATCGGTCCGCTGTGGAGTCTTATGTCACTGTCATGCCCACAGCTGCCGTCAACAACACTCCCAGGAAACATTCATTGTGCAAACAGTTTGAAGATGTGGGTGCCTCAATGGACATATTCATCCTTTCAGGCTGTTTGGAATTCAGACTGATGTGGAGGACAGAAAAAAAATAAAGGTTTTGGTAATAATTTTGTCCAAATTTTCCATTTTCCAGGATAAACATCGGCGCTACCTTAAATTTGTTAGAGATTCAGCAGTTTTTTTTCCCATTGGAGAAAATACTGATGTTTCCCTCCTGCTGCCTTTACTGTTGTAGCTAACCTTTATGTAAAGCAGTGAGTGATTTCTTTGGAAACAAGATTGGTTGTGTCAGGCTCACAACCCCACATTGAGATGTTGCTTGCAGAGCGGCGTTTACTGATTGGCATTCTCAGCAGTGCATGTGTGCCCTGCTATTTTATTTGCATAAAGTACAGGAGATTTCAACTTTTCAACAGCCTCTTTTCTCCTGACGTGCATACAGCCACCCTCCCTGTGCTCCATGGAAAATAACAGTGGATTCCCCCCCAAGCAAAAGTTTCATCGCCTCGTGAATCGGGTGTTATATCGCTCACATTTTTATAAAAAATCTCCATATTTACACCCCAGTTGCATTGCTTTCCCTGTTGCATTTTGTATTACGACAGTGACATTGCCCGCTGATGCTGTTTGAAATTGCTGCTTGCATCAGTTTTATCTCATTATTCTCAGTGAATAAATTTTTATCAACAGTCCACTCTGCACCAGTCTTGTGAATTACAGCAATTACATTTTTTCCCTTTCATACTGGTTTACACCCACTCCCCAAACTGACCATCTATTGAACATTTTTGCAAATTTTGTTTCTTTCCACATGCCAGCCTCTTTTTTTTTCTTTTTGCCAAGAGAGAAGCCCACATTCACACCTTTACAATTTTTAGTTTTCATGCAAGCTTTTGATTGTTAGACAAGTAGTTTTAGTTTATTTGTCAAAAAGGATTTTAAAAGAAAGGAGATGCTGTTAAAGACATCACCTTCTTTCAGAGTTTGAGTCCTTTGTGGAGTCCTTTTCTGTGCTGCTGCTGGAGCTTTTAACTGGTTATGAAACAGACTAAATTTAATACTGGTAACTGTTAACTGATGATTAAGTGACATATTTTAAGGATGTTTTATATTATATTCAATGTGTAACAATAACAGCTGATAACCTGAACAATGAACCCAAACAGTGAACACAATAACTGCAGGAAGTTGAAAGTTTGTGTAAAACCAGAGATTTGGATGAATTTTGAGCAGATTATTTCCTGTGAATATTGATTACTTTCTTGTTTTACTGATATTTTCACTTAACAATCATACAGACTAAATAGGCTTGAATATATCTTGGGTTCAGCTCTTCCAAGTTAAGATATTATATATACATGAAGTGTCTGAATTAATGTAAAGTACTGTACTGTCTCTGTAAACACTTAAAAGCTGCGAACAGATAAAATTAAAGTTTACTGCAGCGTCTCCACCACCTGCTGCTGTTTGATTCTGAGCTGACAGAGATTCACCATCATACCTACTGCTTCTTATCCACTCCTTTTAAAGTTTCCCTGCCACTGCTGCTACATAACGAGCACCACGCTGGTACAGACCAGTGAGCGAGGGTGAGAGAAGTACTTACAACTACTTAAAAATAGCCCTGTGTTTTCGTTACCTTAGAATAAGCTGTTTTTATCTACCGAGTCCGCCATGTTGAACTGCCATGTTTCCAACAACCCAAACACTGGCTCCAGAGTTTTTTTTTTTTTTGCAAGTTTCATGGCCACTGTAGTTTCTACTACACGCTTGTAATGAGGTGAAGTGAGGGGGATATAATCTGCAATTCCACCGCTAGATGCCACTAAATCCTACACTATGTTTTGGGAGAGATGTAAAAATTTTCCAATCGGCCACCGTCAGTCCAACAATGGCTGAATGCCGATATATTCGTGCATGTTTGTGTGCGCTGCCCCCTGATCCCCCCCACAGTCACCACCCCAGTAGTTTCAGCTGGGAGATGAGCGGCGAGTTCGCTACGTGCAACAATCTCTAATAACTTTAATAAAGAAAATAAACTTACCAAAGAAAAACACCTGTTTTACTACAGAAAAAATACAACCGTTCAGCTCCTGAATTAAAGTCTCCAAACTAAGACCTTGTTATGGTCTTTAAACACACTTCATTAAAATTCGACAAAAAAAAATCAAACTCACCAAACAGTCTTTATTTGTCTTTACACTGTTCCAACAATCACCAACTCTGCTGTTTAACAATCAATAGTTATGAAAATATTCTGGCTCTACTCGCTGTCTCTACCTCTCTGATGCCCCCGACCTCCCTCGCTCTTCTACCTGCCTCATGCCTCTCCTAGTCTGTCCCTGCTGTGTCTCCATCTTCCTGGAGTCAGAGTCCTGGTTGAAGCCTCTACGAATCACTCTGTAACCGACATAAACCCAGTTAGATGTAAAAATACATGCCTCTACAGCTGTTTTTCCTCTCACTCATCTTCGGCTCAGTGTGTGTGCTGCACTACTGAACAGCAGCTCTCATTCATCATGGGCAGGCAATTAAATTATCAAAATAAAATGAGAAACATCGGCAAAAAACGGGCCAAAAAAACAACCAGCAAGGGCCGATATATTCCTCCAATCGCCCAACCCTATCCTACACACACACACACACACACACACACACATCCTTTAAGAAGAACTATCTGTCAGGTAAATGTAACCACGTAGAAAGTACAATATTTACCCCGGAAATGTGATGGAGTGAAGTAGCTCAAAACTCTATTTAAGTACAGCACTTGAATAAATGTAGTTTCTTTCCACTGCTGGCCGTGAGTACAATGGGGTCAACTGCAGTCATTTATAAAAATGAAGAGAAGCACCGACGCACTGTTTAGTCGTCGTTGTTCTTTTTCTTTTCTATATTATTTTTGGAGATTGCAAACAAATGTCTGCCTGTTTCTCCTCAAGCCTTGATGCTAGTGTTTGTTCTTATTTTGCAGATTTTAGTTGGTTTAAAGATATTAGTCCTTGTATCTCTGATATATGCACATAAAACCACAGCTTTTTAAAGGAGAAATCATGTTCCTCACTGTGTCTCTCTGCTTTCCCAAGGACAGAGGATAGAGGACAATGGGGGCCGGTGGGGTTTCCCCCCAAGCCCTGCTGTGGCTCAACCTGTTCAGCTTGATCTCTCTGGCGTCGCCCCTCAACCCGGATGACCCCAACGTGTGCAGCCACTGGGAGAGGTCAGTTTTCCTCAATTCAGCCGCTAATATTCAAAGTGAAATAACACGGCTCTAAACGCTGCAGTGAACTAATGGACTCCCCGCCACAAATCAAGACTGAGGGATTGCCAATAATCAAAAGCAAAAGGGAAAAGGTTTACTCCTGGGGACATACCGGGGCCGTAAATTCAGAGCGATGGTAATGTGACTGCTTGAGTGGTCCCACCACTCAGTGCTACGCTGGGTAAAAAGCACAATGTCATTTCTGATGAGAGCATCACAGAGTGCAGGTGCTCTGATCGATAATCTCTCAGCATAATCAGTAGGAATTGTGGAAATGGATATTACCTCTGACGACTGTTACAGTTTTCACTTCTTGCTAAAGGTTAGACTCAGTTTAGTAACCTTTATTCCACACAAGAGAAGAAGAGAACCAGCTCTCATTGTCAGTGTGTATCGATACGGGTGGAAAAAAGCAGCTACAACAACAGAAAGTATAAAAATAAAATAAAAAGTTATGTCAGGATACTTGAAAAGTTTTCAGGAAAATAAAATAAAGTGTTTAAAATTTCTGAAAATCGATGGCTTTTAAACATTTGTCAGATTTAAAGAGTAGGACCACAAGGACATGCTGTCCTGGCTCTCTCCTGGGATCAATACTTGTTTTTAAGAGGAATCATCAGGAGAGGAAATATTGTGTCCTAAGATTAGAAATTGAATTGAATGTTTTTTTTTGTATTGATAATGAGTGTGTGGTTGTATCTTCTGTCTCTCCAGCTATGCAGTGACCGTGCAGGAGTCTTATGCTCATCCATTCGACCAGGTCTACTACACCCGCTGCACCGACATCCTCAACTGGTTCAAATGCACCAGACACAGGTATGGTAGACACATGGTGTGCAGCAATTAATGATTATTTCCATGTGGAGTATCGTAACTGTAACCGTTACCATTATGTAACATTGAGGAGGAACTAGTGTCAGAAATTGAATATAATATTCATAGGTATGTTTTTATTAGTGTATAATCACCTGAATATAAGAATGGTTGTGTTTTGTGACCTTAAAATAAAACGTTTTTAACTATAGACGCCCTTCCACGGAGCATATTTGCTGAAACTTTTACTATATCGTTCATTAGACAGATAATCTGTGAAGAAATTGGGTTCTTCTGGCGCCTCCTACTGCTTCTAATGACATTAACAAAAATCCACCGGCCCCAACGAAAGCAACCAAGATGTAACCAGAGAATATTTTGATTTTTATGGCGGAAATTAAAAGAGAAATTCAAACTGATGTTAGTCAATTTTCAGTTGATCGACTAGTGAACAATTAAACACAATCGTCAAGTGTGTGTTTGTCGATCTCCAGACCTCTAATCATAATTTAAGCTTTTTCTAGCCTCCAAAACGACAAATTATGAAAGCTTTGCTGTTCCCACTTTAGTGTTGTGTATATAACCTGATTCTGTATGCACTCCTGCTTAAAATGTGATGTACACAACCGAAAAGACCAACAGAAGCAAGTCTGCAAAAATAAAATAAATAAGTAATCAAATGCACCCGCTTGTCTGCAACAGTTTAATCTTTTGGAAGTCTGTGCAGTGATTTGTTAGAATAATACACTTTTTACGCGACACTCAAAGCAAGGGCGCAAGATGATTAAAATTTTTAGTTTTATGTAGTGTTATTAGTGTCATTATGTTATCAGGGTATAAAAAACAAAATCAAATCACATTTTTACAGTATGAGACCTTTAATGTAAATCTAACAGACACAGAACAGAATTATAAATACTTTGGTTGGATAAACACCTTGATCAAGAATGAAACATTGTCCTTAAAAAACAGACAAACCATCATACAAGCCACTGCATTATGGAGATACTCTGTAGGCTCCTGCTGCTACAATTAAACCACTGGACCCCGTTCATACTGTGCCATTTGATTCATTACTCAGGACCGCTATCACACTCACCACTGTGAGTTATTTGAAGATGTCAGAGGTCATCAGGTCGTCAGCATACCTGTGTCACCATTTGTATGAGTTAGCGAGATATTTAACATCCTTAAGCCCTATCCGCAGGGGACTAGTATTACCAGGGGACGTCTAGTAATGTGTAATAACTGCAGAGGTCGTCTGAGATTTTAATCTGTGTGAGTCTACCATGTGTGTTTTTTGTATAAGTGAAAATTCCACACTAAATTACCGACCATATTTCACCAAAAACTGAGATCTTGTGATAATATTAGTCCGGTGTGAATCAGCATCTCTGTGATTTGAGGTGATATTTTGAATTTTTTGCAAGGTATCAAACTGGTATTTTAATGTAACTGACTGTGGAGCAGCGGGGAAGAAATATGGTGCTGCACACATACAGTCTGTGGATGTATTATAAGATCAGTAAAGTCTCCGTCTCCACTGTTCAAACTGTAAAACCAGATATGTTTATTTAAATCCAAACATCAAACTTCTTGATTAAGCAGCTTTTACTGGTAATTTTAAGTGACACTAACTTTGTTTTGTGAGTTATAGAAACATTTCTGATTAATAACTTTTTTTTACTAAAGTCAGTGCCACACAGGCAGGTGTAGCAGATTTTGTCTTTGACATAGAAAATATAAATGAAATCAAATGCTGAACAAATATTCCCTCAGTTCACCAGTTTTAGATGATGACAGACTGTTAGCTAGACTGTTAGTTTGATACCATGGTGAAAAAAACAAAAACCTGTGTACTTCAACATATACCTTGCTTTTCCCGTCAGGACTCTTTTCCACACACACGCGCACGCACATACACACACACACACACACACCAGTGTTTCTCTCTCTCTATGCGTCAGCAGTAAGTTTTATAAAGTCGCTCAAAAAAACACAGCTCGTTGTTTGAGATTTCTGTGATTCAGCCTTATTAACAGCAGGTGAACTGTGTGTGGGGGCTCGTTGTTAATGACGCAGTCAATTAAAACACAACAAATTACATCGGCACCAGCTGACTTGTTTTAGCGTCTAAAATATCCCCTGTATCTGTACAAGAGAGCGTCTGTCTCTGTTTTAGTATCTGTAATTGTAACAGACTGTACAGAGGTTCCCCGTCAGGTCTTGAAGAATTGAATCCCTGGTACCTACAGTACCTATTGTACTGTAGAAAAATGAGTACCGTCAGGGTGCGAACTACAGGGGAGCCAGGGAGAGCTCATCTCCTCTTAATAAGACACAAGCTCCCGTGAAAATGTGAAATACTGACAATATTAGCCCCATCCAAAAGACGTAAAATGATTTCTTTCTTTGCGATCGTGTTGATGTTTTCAGACATTTTTTTTGCAATGAAATTGCAGGAGAAAGTGAAAAAATGTATAATATATGTATATAACCTCCTATAGGGACTTCTATTTGCTATATTTGCCATTTCTATTTTTTAATTATGTGTAAACTTACTATTGATGTATGATCATCACTGATTTACTTTAAAGAGGATATTTCTATTCTAGCCATCACCACTGGAGCATGACAGCAATATCATATCAACAGAAAATACCAGAAAATACCAGAAAATACGCCCCCCGCGACAGTAGAAAAAGTGAACTCCGCTGAAAGCCGCGGTATAGTTTGCAGTACCGTCGCATTTTCAGAACGTTTGCATCAATTTGGTACCGAAGTATCGGTTCTTGTGACATCCCTTCTCTGTTTGTACACCGTGTTGAGACTCAGAAGATAAAACAGTTGCACTGATTTTGAAAACCTGAGTAGTCCGTACAGTAGATTTATCAGGGATCAATAAGGGAATCGATAAAAAAATCTGACAAGCAGAATCGATAATGGTATTGGTATTAATCAAACTACCCAGACCCAGGTAATTCCACAGTCTGTCACACCCTGTACATATCGTACTGTACAGCTCTGCGGCGGTCAGTCACTACTGTCGACTACCCAACACTAGCGAGCACTTCAGCTCCGCCTGATGTGGTCATTGTGATGAGCGACCGTCGGCGTATCGGCTTTAATGACCACATTAAGCTTTATAGCCACCAGTTTAGCTCCTCCAGCTAAGAGCTGAGTCATTGATCTTAAGCTGAAATGTCAGACAACATCAGCGTCCTTGAGCGACTGGGAGAAACTCCCTTAAACGTTTAAGTGTCGCTCGTCTTTAAGAAGTGTAGTGATGTGAGAACATTTTTAGTATGTTTTTATAGGACATCGCTCTTAACGTAACATGTGGAATCTTGGTTGCTGGGCTATTTTAATGGACAGAAGGCCTGAAGGAAAATATAAAACCTAATATAAAAAAGATGCATACACCTTGAGTTCAAGTGAAAATGTGAACTTGTGTTATTTAATTTAATAAAAACCAATGGTAAAACTTCAGTGTGTGTGTGTGTGTGTGTGTGTGTGTGTGTCGTGTGCAGGATCAGCTACAAGACGGCGTACAGACGAGGCGTGAGGACCATGTACAGGCGACGCTCTCAGTGCTGCCCCGGCTTCTATGAAAGTGGAAACTTGTGTGTTCGTAAGTTATCAGTTTGGATATATTGAGCTGTCGATGGTTACAGTAAAATAATGCACACAGAGTTAAAAAGTCTCAGTGACTGTGGTATAATACACTGTACACCAAAAGAACTGCAATATCTCATCTTATAGACATCCAGAAAAGGTAATAATCCAAATTTAATCAGCAGTATATAACGAATGTATCTCATAACCATTTTATTTTATATAACAGTCCTTTAATAGTCTCCTGCTGGAAGGCACAGAGCTTTTCATAGTGCTGTGTAACAGGATACCGACAGCACCAACAAAGATCTGTAAGTGCCTGATATAACAATCATATAAAGACCCAATAAATGACTTCATTCACATTCTGACTGAACAAAAATCTAACTTTTTTCATAAGAAGTTAACACACATTGCTCTTTTCTTATAGATGTGAAGCAAGGTTGCTCTTATAATGCTGCAGAATCACACTGTGTTTGATCAAATGGCACTAAAAGCACATCCAGCATGCTTGCTTCCTATGAGACGGCAATATCTGCAGAATACAGCTGGATTTGAAATATTCCCACCACAGGGGAACGTGTGCTCTGCAGAACGTCCCTGCAACAAACAACATCATTTTCCTGTCATCTGCATTGTTATTTTCAAACTTTTTCCACTTGATACACACAAAGTATCCAGCCTTGTTAAAATTGTCTTGCGGAGCAGTGATTCAATCTCAAGTCGTTATCTTTTTCACTTGCAGCAGACGGTTATCTATATCTGCTGTTAGAGCTGTCAAAGTGAGATCAATCTGGCTCTGGTGCAAAGTGGATCCATTTCAACTTAAAGTTTTGGCACACAGAGCTTTGAAATCAACGTAAACAGAAAAAAACGGGAAAGCTTCGAGCACAGAGCGTCTGCTAATATGGAGTTAAATGTTGTCAGAATCTCTTTAAACTGAAGATCTTTTGTGTTGATTTCTTGGGTCATTCGTGCTTCATCGGGCTACGGCTCGCTCTTCTGCTTTTCACTTTCAGAACAAAGAAACCTTTTAATATCTCTGAAAAAGGATATTTTTTTCCCGCTATCTTTCACATTCACCTTATCAACAGATGAGGTGAATGTGACTGCTGTTCAGCTTTATTCCCCAATGTGTGGGATGGATCCGTTTTTTAAAGACGTGGATAAAAAAACAGCAATATTTTAGTGAGAAGCTCTTTTTCCAGTCAAAGAAAAAACATCACATCAAACAGAACATCAGACAATTAGACGGAGCAGATGAGACAACAGATGTTAACTCAGAGCTGATACGACACATACATACGATTCTTTATTTAAGTGCAAACGCAGCCTTCAAGCGCACACAGCACACACACACACACACCCTGCTTCTGCTTCTCTTGCACATTTATCTCCTCACATCTGACAAACGTCTGTGCACACATCCACGGCCAATCCTATGGCCCTGGCGCAAGCAAGCAGGACAAAACACTCTCATGATCACGTGATTCGCATTTAAGCTGATTTCATTCAGATTCTGCTGTTGTGTCCCAGGACTGCTAACCACAGCCTACGAGGAAGCAATAAATTCTGCTTTCTTAAAATATATTGGCTAATTGTGTCATACGACGTAAATCAAACTTTTCCCAATTGAATGCCGGCAGGCTCGACGCTGCCCACCCTGTCTTTCTCTGGACACATTTGTTAGCTTTAAGTTTTACCTGAAAATGGAATGAAAAAGAAAACGAGATTACAGATCTACAATAGCCCAGAATGGACAAACCAACAACTGCTGTAGTGTAAAAGGCTCATTCTGCTCTCTGGTCTGGAGTGAAACGTACAACTAAATCTAAAGTTTGCTAATTTGTTATTAGGTGGGACCTCTATGGAACAATGTCGTCCGAGTTAGTGTTCTAGTTTTCAAAGCACGAAGGGAACAGAACACCATCACGAGTCAAACTCGTTCCAGCTCGTGAAAAATGGGATTAAAAAGCACAGTTTCCCTATTTTTTGTTACAGGTGAAATCCAGAAAG